AAGAATGCAAGCTCTCAACATATCCTCTAAGATCTGAATAGTACGTTCAGACTGCCCGTCTGTCTGTGGATGAAATGCAATACTAAGATCTACTCGTGTACCCAATGCTTATTGAAAAGATTTCCAAAAGCTTGAAGTGAATTGTGATCCTCTATCAGAGATGATGGATACTGGAACTCCGTAAAGTCGGACAATTTCATTCATAAATATCTGTGCATACCTGACTCCACCATATGTAGTCTTTACCGGCAAAAAGTGTGCTGATTTTGTCAGTCAATCTACAATCACCCATACCGAGTCATAACCTCTAAGGGTTCGTGGTAGCCTGATGACAAAATCCATAGTAATTCTTTCCCATTTCCACTCTGGAATCTCAATTTGTTGTAGTAGTCCTGCGGGCCGCTGATGCTCAGCCTTGACCTGCTGACAAGTCAAACAACTAGAAACAAAGTTAGCAACATCTTTTTTCATACCTTCCTACCAATAAAATTACTTCAGGTCATGGTACATTTTTGTGGATCCAGGATGTATAGTGTATTTAGTGTTGTGAGCTTCTTTAAGAATAACATGTCTCAACCCATCTATGTCTGCTACACATAGCCTCTCACCCATTCGAAGAACACCATCACTTTCAACAGTCATATCCTTGCTTTTACCAGCTAAGGCCTCATCCCTATATTTGCATAATCGTTCATCCTTATATTGGGTGGCCTTAATGCGCTCAACTAATGAAGACTTAGCCTGAGCACAAGCCAACAATACCTCTGAATTTCCAACACTAAATCTGATACCTGTATCTTCTAGTCTCTGAATATCTTTGGCCAAATGTCTCTTTGCAGGGTCTATATGTGCCAAACTCCCCATAGATTTTCTGCTCAATGCATCAGCCACCACATTGGCTTTTCCAGGATAATATAAAATAGAACAATCATAGTCTTTGAGTAGTTCCATCCACCGACGCTGCCGAAGATTCAGATCTCTCTGCTGAAAGATATACTTCAAACTTTTATGGTCGGTATAAACATCACAAGTTTCGCCGTATAGATAATGCCTCCAAATTTTTAGAGCAAATACCACTGCAGCCATCTCCAAATCATGTGTAAGATAGTTTTGCTCTTACCTTTTCAATTGTCTCGAAGCATAAGCTATAACACGACCATTTTGCATGAGAAAACATCCTAATCCCACCCTCGAGGCGTCACAGAATATTGTAAATCCTCCAGAACCTGATGGTAAGGCTAATATTGGTGCAGTTGTCAGACACGTTTTGAGTTTCTGAAAGCTTTGCTCACATTCCTCCGTCTACTGAAACTTTGCATTTTTCTGTGTTAGCTTGGTCAGTTGAGCTGCTATTCTGGAGAAATCCTGCACAAAACGCCTGTAATAGCTTGCTAAGCCTAAAAAGCTGCGAATCTCTGCAGGAGAAGTAGGTCTGGGCCATTTCTGCACAACTTCGGTCTTCTTAGGATCTACCATAATTCCATCTTTGGATACAACATGCCCCAAAAATGCTATCGAGTCTAGCCAGAATTCACACTTCGAGAACTTAGCATAAAGTCAATGTTCTCGCAATGTCTGCAACACAGTCCTGAGATGATTCTCGTGTTCTCCTTGTCTACGAGAATATATCAGGACATCATCAATAAATACTATTACAAATATATCCAGAAACCACTTGAACACCCTATTCATTAAATCCATGAATACAGCTAGAGCATTTGTCAGTCCGATAGGCATCACAAGAAACTCATAGTGCCCGTATCGACTCCTGAAAGCAGTCTTAGAAATATCTTCATTTTTGATTCTAAGTTGATGATAACCAGAACGGAGGTCAATCTTTGAAAAGTGGGCAGCTCCTTGTAACTGATCAAACATGTCATCTATACGAGGCAAAGAATATTTATTGCGTATTGTTATCTTGTTCAACTGCATATAGTCAATGCACAATCTCGGGGATCCGTCTTTCTTCTTTACGAACAGTACTGGTATACCCCATGGTGATACACTAGGTCTAATAAAACCCTTATCTAACAAATCTTGTAACTGTTTCTTTAGCTCCCTCAACTCTGCTGGTTCCATTCGATATGGGGGTATCGATATGGGCTGTGTGTCAGGTAGCAAATCAATACCAAAGTCTATTTCTTGTACTGGAGGCAACTTGGTAAATCTTCAGAAAATACATCAGAAAATTCTCTCACTACAGGTACATTTTCTATACTAATTGTTTCCTTTCTTGTGTCATTTACAATAACTAAGAAACCCAAGCAACCTTTCTTCAGAAGTCGTTGAGCCTTCATAAAAGATACAATTTTGCAAGTCTCTGGAACCTGACTCCCTCTTAGAATAAAACTGGGTTCATTTGGTATCTCAAACTTAACTATCTTTGCATGACAATCGACTATAGCATAGCAAGAAGATAACCAATCCATTCCCATCAGCATGTCAAAGTCAATCATATCAAGTACAATAAGGTCAGCTAGAGTATCTCTACCCTCAACCCGAATCTGACAAGCACGATACATGTATTTAGCTAATAGAGACTCTCCAACATGAATAGCAACTAGAAAAGGATCATTCAATAGCTCGGGCTGTAAACTAAATCTCAAAGCAAAGTACGAAGACACATAGGAGTGGGTAGATCCTGGATCAATCAACATAAGTGCATCAAATGGACAGACAGAAAGAATACCTGTAACCACTGCATTCGAGGCCTGAGCATCTTGTCTAGTAAATGCAAAAACTCTCGCCTAACCTCTACCAGCATTGCCTTGTCCTTGATTCACAGTAGCACGGTCTCCAACACCTCGACCTCTATTTCCTGTACCTGTAGCACCTGAAGTATTATGAGTAGTCTGAGTCGGTGCAACTGACTGAATAGAAGCCTGGTTGAAATTTCTCGGAGGCTGAAGGCAATCCCTCAAGTGATGTCCCAACTGGACACACCGAAAGCACTCTCTAGTTAGAACACGACATTGGCCCAAATGTGATCTACCACAAGTCTGGCAGACTGGAGTAGTGGCATATATCTGCCCAGAACGATGTCCAGAAGATGATGGTCCCCTATTACCTTGTCTATAATGTGGTTTGTATGTGGACTGTGAAGACATGTGTGTCCCTATATGAGAACCCTGTTGTTGTTGTTGTCCCTGATTTCCTGCTCTTCTATTTTCACTAAAACCACCACTGAAAGCCCCTCCTGTCTTGGCCTTCTTACGTAAATCACTAGTTGCACGCTCCTCACGTCCTTTGTTTTCAATCTTTCTAGCAAGATCGACTACATCAGAGTAGGATAAAGTCTTCATCTGTGGGGTTACTGCAGTGTATAGTCGACCAACCAATCCATCAACAAACCTCTAAACTCGAGCTTCTTCGATAGACACTAAGTGATGAGCATATATAGCCAGCTTACAGAACTTAGTGTTATATGTTGACACATTTATATCTGGAGTCTGAGCCAATCTCTCAAAGTCTCTAGCATATTGTTGCATCAGAATGTCTGGAAGAAAATAATTCTTGAACAACTTAGTGAACTCGTCCCATGTCAATGGTAGTGCTCATGCTGGCCTTCCTAGCAATACCATTTCATACCATGTGTTGGCCATACCCTCTAGTTTGTATGCTGCGAGCTCCACGACTCTCTCACTAGAACATCCAAGAGCACATAATGCCTTGAGTGTCCCATCCAAGAAACTTTGAGGATCTGCTGAATTATCGGAACCTGTGAATTTTGGTGATTTCAATTTCAGGAACTCGTGTAGGGATACTTCATTATTCCCGAAAGGCTGAGTTTGTGTAGGTGCTTGTGTCTGTAAAGTAGCATGAGGAGCTGAACTTCCGTCCTGAGTAGGCACCAATGCCTCTAACACATTCAATAACCTTGCCACTGCATCTGCAGGTAAGGCAACAATAGGTACAACAGTTGGCACTGGTGGTGGAGCATTCTGAACTCCCTGCTCTTGCACTTGATCTAGCATAACAACTTGGGTTTGACCCATGTTCCCAACTTGAGGTTGAGAAGCAGTCTGTCTTCTAGTTTGATGAACCCCAACTTGACCTCCACCTCGGGTAGTACCACGTCCAGCATATGAGGGTGTAAGTGTCCTAGCCATCTGCGAAAGAAATATTCCAAAGTCAATCTCAAGTTATCTCAATGCACGATCAAAGAATGAAAGAAGGGAAAACATTCTTAAATGTTCAGTATCCTCGAGATCATAAGTATGGGCGCCTACATACCCATGAACAAGACTCTACTAAACATTGCTCCATGACTCGGGACTTAAAGCCTAAGCTCTGATACTAACTTTGTCACTACCCAATTTAGGATTGTGACCGGCTCTTAGGAGCAAGTGCTCCCAAGTAAGCCTCATCGGTAATTTTACAGAAAATTCGGTAGAATTTCCCCTTTTTTGGACCATCCCTAAAATTTTCCTGTCTCAAATCAACAACCAAACATCCTAATATCATACCAAACAATTGACAACATGTCAATTAACCAATACAAGTCTCCACCATGACTAAACCACAAACTAACCACTAGAAATACTAATTTATCTCCAACTTTGATAAATGAGAACGATACTCAACATAAGACTATAATAACAAAAGAATACTCATGATACTAAAATAATGACTATGGAGCGACTCTAAGAGTTCAAAAAAAAGACCATAACAATAAATAAAATCTCTGCCCACGCGAACAAGTGCGAGGCTCACCGAGAAATATCAATCTGTGCACTCTAATTAACGAAATCCTCGCCTGCGTCAACTGCTGTCTCTGTAAAAAAAATTAGCGGGGAATGGGTCGCTAGCTCAGTGAGTAATAACACTTAACCACAACCGTTTTTATTGGGAACAAGTCAGAAAACATGCTAGTATCTCAAATAGAAGATAACATAAAAATTCCCTTTCAGAAACAATAAATAATTTTCAGTCTCATCATGTTCTTCTTGTAGTATAATACAAATAATAATTTAGTAATAAGCTCGGTAACCACTGTACAATTTCAATATTCACATTTGGGAGGTTTTAATGAACGGATCATGTAATCGGTATAACTGTGGACTTCTTCGTAAGAAGTCAAATATAAAGGTAGTCCCTACTCGAGGGAAATCAGTAATGGTATGCTAGTTCTACCTTTCCACTAGCGAGGGCTATAACGGTAATCTGTAATTACAAGGTGCACCAGGTCTAACGAACCCGCCGTTAGCTACGAGATCCTTTAATGTCTACTCCCATTTATACTTGTCTCTGTAATCCGTATATACTCGTAGAAACTATTTTAAAACAATATAGGACATTTCGGTTCTTATCAAATTATATAATTTCCTTTCGATAACAGTAAATTCAAGAAACGGTCAAACAGATCTAGTGATACGAAAATATTTAAAACCACAGTATTCATCTCAAATAACTATTTCGGTATCATATCGAGTAAAAAACTTGTCCCACATGCAACTCAAAATAATCGGTAACACATTCATATTAAAAATCATGTGTAAATCATGCAAGTTATGAAAACACAAATTGCGGTAAGATTACTACTCACAGTACTCGTGCCGAAATATCAACTGCTTCACCTCAAGCAACACGTACAAATTCCTCCAATCAATCTATAATTACATAATATCGATCTCATGTTAATTTTCTTATTTAGGCTAATTCATAGCTATTTTAGAATACCCAACCCTCGAGGTTTCATGTTTGACTCTTAATTTGCCCAGAAGAATTATTATTGGTATTTAATTTCTTATACCTCGTGAAGCCCTTCAAATATATGAACTGAGATAAAAAGAATTATCAGAAGAAAATAACCCAGATGAGAAATTCGAGTATTACCCGTAAAAATCAGTGCGTATTTAAGATTTCTCAAGATTTGGTTCTAGCCTCTTTCTTCTTCTACCTTTCTTTCCTTCTCTGTTTTTTTTTGTTTCGTTTGAAGCTTCTGCTTCGTCGAACTCAGCAGACCTTTCTTTTCTTTTAGCCAAATGGGCTTCGGCCCTTTTTGCCTTACTTATCCTTTTTTTTTTATTGTAAAGTTATTTTCTTATAATTTTTGTTGTTGTTGTTGTTGTTGTTATTATTATTATTATTATTATTATTATTATTATTATTATTATTATTATTATTAAATATAGGGTATTACACACATTCATCTACTGAAGTAGGAAACATGAACATATAAAAGTTTTTTGAGTCTTCCAATCAAGTGACTTAAAAAAATTTGCTTGAATAAAAATTGGCTATATTCATTTGACAGGAGGTTAGTCATTTTAACTAACTTTACAAGCCGAAAATCCTTGTTTTCTACTACTACTATACAAAATGGTTAAGCAAAAACAAGGAATTGTTTCCCTCATTGTCAAGTCCCACTTAAATGGAAGTGACATCTCTACTATCTCTCATCTTTCTCTTTTCTAAAGCTATTGCTTTACAAAATTTCATGGGCAGAAGAATTTGCACCATGGTCCTACTCATAATCTCCTCAAGCGGGAGGTGAGATCAACGAACATATCCTCTTTGCAAGGTATTGTGAGACCGCCCATTGAATGATCAAATCCAAACTCTTCCTCAGCTTGAGCTAACAAGTCTTGAAATAAAGGCTGGCTCAGGTATGATATTGGTACGACGAATCGCTTCTTCTGGCTCTCTCCTACATATACTGCGCAATGCCCTTTTGGAACACCTCCAGTTGTTGAAGACCTCCTTAGGGTTCGAGTAGCCTGAATAAATGGAGTCACTTTGATACCCATTGTCTCAAGGAATATGATGTAACTGTAAAAAATGAAGGAAAATAAAGGACAAGAACTTTGAGAATTGCACAAAAATGAAAGTTTTTTGAATGTCAGGGTACTTGTGTTTTGCTCAAATGCTTTGGGTCTGATTATATACAAGTTTATGACAAGTTTCATATCCAAAAGTTTAGTGGTTAAGAGAAATTGGTGGCTACTGGTGAGAGACAATGGCACATGAAGTTTCACATGGTTTTGCCTACTCTGTTATTGTCAAAGTATTCAGACCAGAAAAATTTTGTTGAACAACACTAGGCCCTACTGTTTCTTATTTGGAGCAGAAAAAAACACCCTTAAAATAACATCCACAAGAATAGATAAATTTGATGATTTAGTCCAGGACCACCTGGTTTAGAGGTGAGGTGACAAAAAATGCCAGATAGGAATAAGCAACAGAAATACCACAAGAGAAAGAAAGATAACATGACATGAAATATCACATGCCATTGCCTTCTAACTCTTTGACAATCACTTGGAAAAAAATGTCATATTTGTGGAATAACAACAAAATACTCATAATCCAATTAAATGAACTTGTCTGCTATTTTCATCAATTCAATAAAAAAGAAAAATTATATGACTCACTCTTTTCTAGTCCCTTTCAATATGGCTGCAACAATTATTTTTATTCTACTTTAGCTTAGACAAGAGGGGTTGCTCTGATGGTAAGCAACCTCCACTTCCAACCAAGAGGTTGTGAGTTCGAGTCTCCCCAAGAGTAAGGTGGGAAGTTCTTGGAGGGAAGGATGCCGGGGGTCTATTTGGAAACAGCCTCTCTACCTCAGGGTAGGGGTAAGGTCTGCGTACACACTACCCTCCCCAGACCCCATTAAGTGGGGATGTTGTTGTTGTTGTTTAGCTTAGCCCATTTGTTGTTATTCTGCACATAAAAAGGGAAGAAATGCATTAACTTTCTTTTCTGCAATCGCAGAACTAGACAACCAGCCATATCCACAATTCATTAGGTCCCATATTCAACAGCAGCACATGATTCTGCCGTGCCTACCTAACTCAGGTTGACAACTTTAGCTACAATTCAAATTCATTCTCTAGCCTCAACTATAAATGAACTGCTTCCATGAGCCATTTTGATCATCAATCAGATAGCAATTACTCAAACCTTTTAAAAAGTAACCAACCTTTTTTCTTTCCTATCTTCCAAAGAAATCAATATGGTCAGTGTTAAGAAACTGATAAAAATGGCAAGGAGATGGCAGAAGTTTGCAGCTAAGCAAAGGAAGAGGATTTCTTTACCAAGATCAAGTTACAATGATGCAGAAAGCTGTAGCACATCATCGTCTATAGTTGACAAAGGGCATTTTGTGATCTATACAACTGATCAGAAGCGATTTGTGGTTCCTTTGGCTTATCTACAACACGAGATAATCAGAGAACTTTTGCACATGTCTGAAGAAGAGTTTGGACTTCCAAGTGATGGCCCTATCACTTTACCATGTGATGCCTTATCCTTGAATTACATCATATCACTCATCAGAAGAGGTGTAACTGTAGATCTTCAGAATGCTTTGCTTGTATCAGTCGCTTCCACTCGATGCTCATCAGCTTCATACCTTCAAGAACCAAGTCACCGACAATTCCTAGTTTGTTGAGCTAACTTCAATAAGTTTTGTAATGGATACATGATACTCAACAAGTGTACAGAATGTTAACATCTAATTGTTCATGAAAACTCCATATTCTTATCCAAACTGTTTTATTCTTTATAAATTGGAAAAATCTGATTGCATATTCGTTGCTCTCTATTAGTCTTGCACCTAGAATATATAGCTTGTGGCTTTCACAATCAGCGGGTAGGTTGATAAGCTCAATTCAAAGAACGTAATGTCAAAAGCTTCATTAAATCATTCTTTCCAGCATGAAGAAGTAAAAAAAAAAAAAGACTATTGACTTGATTGTAAGAGTATGCACCAGGGGCTTCCGCAAAAGACTAGTTTCAACCAAGATGATTTAGTTTCCTTGTTGTTAATGTTGCCTTCTAAGTAAATTGTAAACAATTTTTAACTTGCCATTTTCAAATTATAAACAATTTCATGAACAATAGCAGTAGATATTAAAGCCCAAGAAAAATTAGCAAATTTTGGACAGTGGAAAGGGCAGTTGATCCTTTCCTTTTGCACATAGGAAGACTTGATATCTAACATTCCATGTGAAGGTCCCCTACATACATGACAATTCAGGCAGGCAGCACATGGTTCAGCAAACTTAATCTACAGCAACAACAACAACTACGCCTCAGTCTCAAACAAGTTGGGGTTGGCAATATGAATCCTCATTCTTTTCATTAAGCTCAACTCATATCATTATCATTACCAAAAAAAAATAAAAGTGAAATTATGAGGATTCATCATGAATTGTCAAGTTTTACGCTGGCTGCTAACCTAACGCAATCTTCCTCCTTTATTCGGGCTTGGGACCGGCAATGTAAGCAAGCTCACACCAGCAGAGTTGTTAAGCAAACTTCATCTATCACCGAGAGAACTAGTCTTCATTCAAAGGTCTCAAACTCTTCAAATTGGCGAGAAGTCCTAAAGTGTGACTTGATAGGTCCATTCTGTTGTCGACCAAAGTGAAAATTTAAGCGTCTCTTACTCCCATGATATTTTCTAGTCATAGCAGCAGTAATATACTACTGCCAAATTTCACACCAAGAGAAGAGGATGAAACAATGAATTGCAGAAGTTCTTATTTTTCAAGTCAAAATGAAAACATTTGATAGTAAAAGAATGTCCTGGCATCTCTTCGAACAAAAACCCCGGAATAAAATTCCTTCTCTTGGATAAAGCTTCTTCATTCATCTTCGGTACTAACAAGCCTTTCCTTTCCTAAGCTTGGAGTGCTAGTGAATATCTCTAACTCCTCAACTTACAAGCTATAATTCCTGCTTTACTAGTGCACAAATTGTTTAAGGGAAACAATTTGTACATGGTTCAGCAAACTTAAAATTAAAAGCCACTAGAATGGATATAATTCATGACAAAATTCTGGACCACTTGGCTTGACACAGACTCAGCAAAGAAGGATAACCAGATAGGCATATCAACACAAATACCACAATTATTAGGTCCCTTTCATGATGTCTGTTACATTTAATTAGTCCTACTCAAGCTTGGCTGTGTTTCTTCTTATACTACAGAGCAAAATGGTAGAACTGAAAAATTAGATAACCAGCGATATCCACAATGCAGTAGGTCCCATATTCAACAGCAGCACATGATTCTGCCTAGCACACCTAACTAAGGTTGATAACCACAGCTTATATTTGAAATTTATTTCTCTAGCCTCAACTATAAATAAACTGCTCCCATGAGCCACATTTTGATCATAAAGCAGATAGCATAAGCAAACCTTCAAAAATATCCTCAAGTTTTTTTCATTCCTATATTTCAAAGAAAATCAATATGATCAGTGTTAAGAAACTGATCAAGCTGGCAAGGAAATGGCAAAATTTTGCAGCGAAACAGAGGAAGAGAATTTCTTTTCCAAGATCCAATTACCATGATGCAGAAAGTTGTAGCATACCAACTTCCATAGTTGGGAAAGGGTATTTTGTGGTCTATACAACTGATCAAAAGCGATTTGTAGTTCCGTTGGCTTATCTACAACATGAGGTAATCAGACAACTGTTGCACATGTCTGAAGAAGAGTGTGGAATTCCAAGTGATCACCCTATCACTTTACCATGTGATGCACTATTCATGAACTACATTATATCACTCATCAGAAGAGGTGTATCTGCCGATCTTCAGAAAGCGTTGCTTGTATCAGTTGCTTTGAGCCAATGCTCATCAGCTTTATGCCTTCAAGAACAAAGAAATCCCCAAGTGCTAGTTTATTGACCTATGATAAGTTTTGTAGTAGTCTAGGATACAAAATACTCCACAAGTGTACAGCATATTAAAATCTCAATTATTCATCAGAATTCTATATTCTTGTCTCCAAACTCTTTAATTTTCTGATCATTTAGGAGAATCTGATTCTTTTATTTTCTTTCTAGTAGTCCTACAATTTGATTGAACTCCACTAATTATGACAACATTAAGTGACAATGACCGAACAGACAATATGATGTGGATTACAAATTTTTATGCGGTCAATTTTGGGACCAGCCTAGAAAATTTTCACAATCTTTTGATTTTGGAATATTACATGACAAGGACTATAACATTACAGAACTTTCATATTCTAACCAATAGGGTTATAGATCTCTGTAGGTCGCACACCCTTAATATCAGATTGTTGCATAATCAAACGGAAAGTTGTGTCAAGAGCTGAATAAAGCCATCTTTTCAAGTAATATAAAGAGCAAACTTCTATACTGAAACAAAAGTCAAGAGCCATTCGTACATCTATGTTGCAGTGGCTTTATCGCATTTATTTTTTCTCAAGGGAACAATATCCCTTCAATTATTACATCCTTCACTATCTTCTAAATAAACCATACTATTTTGTAAGATATCATCTTTTGATCTTTTGATCTTCTTCATATGCACACCTCTCCCTCCACCAAAGGAAAGAAAAAGAACAAGAAAAAGACTTATTGAATTAATTGATAAAGTTAATTTTTCGTTGGTTGCTATCCCCTCATTTGTTTCGACACTATCAACTACAGATTGGGTTTTCTTACTGTTAAATATGTCTTTGAGTAAAATTTGTGAGCAGTGTTAACTCACCAAATTTTGAATTTACAAACATTTACACTAATATACTTGTGTCCCTATCTAACAACTATACTGCAGTGGTTATTCCAGCACAACCAGCCAAGACGACAATATAAATGTCCCCCATCTACATGATCAAGAAGGGAGTAGCACATGGTTTTGCCTTCCACCAGCAATTCAACATCTAATTGTATCAAATTATTGCCATTGGTGAGAAGTCCCAAGCATGAGCTAATAACATAACTAATAGGCCTAATCAGTTGTCGACCAAAGTGAAGAAAGGAAGAAACTTATCATCTTTAATCCTTTCAAGCTAACTTCATCCACAAATTTAAGGCCCCATATCAACCTGGCCAAAAGGCATCAGCACATGGCTTTGCCTTTTGTTGTTAGTAACATAACTTCAGCTCCAACTCAAAGCCCGTCTACAGCCTCTTGTATAAATAATCCTCCTTTCATGAGCCTTTTCATCATAAAACAAGCACTATCAGTTCATTTATCAAAGATCCCTAAGGTTCTAATTTACTTTCTTTTTTCTAGTTTTCCAGAGAAATGAAGATGCTCAGTGCTAAAAAACTCATCAATATGGCCAAGAGATGGCAGAAGTTCGCGGCAAAGCAGAGGAAGAGGATTTCATTTCCAAGAAATGCCCATGATACAGACAGTTGTAGTACATCCCCATCTTCTATAGTTGAAAAGGGTCATTTTGTAGTATATACAGCTGACCAAGCACGGTTCGTCATTCCCTTGGCTTCTGAAAATGAGGTCATTAGGCAACTTTTAAGCATGTCTGAAGAAGAGTTTGGGCTACCGAGTGGTGGCCCTATAATATTACCGTGTGATTCAGACTTCATGGACTACATTATATCACTAATCAAGAAAGGTGTATCTGCTGGAGATCTTCACAAAGTATTGCTCCTCTCAATTACTTCATGTTGCTGTTCAACTTCTTATTTGCACCAAGAAAGTGGAAATCAGCAGATTCTTGTTTATTGAGTCATGACATCATGTTTTGTAAATGATAGCACAAAATAGATTGTATAGCAGTTGAAAAATAGACAACTGAAAGCTTGTATTATTACAGAGGGAATAGAGCCTTATCTTGAAATTAACATTCAATATTATACTTATGGTAAGACAAGATAAAATGTCAATACGGTTATCAAAAGATACAACGTCAATACACACAAAGACCAGTGAACAAGTGCATCAGGGGTATAGTATAGATACTGATGTCTCTTGTCATGAGCTGGCTGCCTAGAGCTTCTTAAGCGAGGCTTTGAGATGCGGCTGAAGACCAATTAGACTGGTGGCCATTTCCACAACATAAGATAGTTCACAATTCTCCACTTTAAAAACTCGACTGATCTCCTTGACCTGTCCACCAGGTAAGTGAAGGATCACATTAGTCAAACTTATTGCAACTACGAAATGTTTTCTCAGTATTTTAGGTTTCATCAGGGTAGACTAAAGACCAAGTCAATCTCAATTCAAAGCACAAAAAAGAAAACTTATTACAACTATGACATGCTTTCTCATTAGACTGAAAATTTGTTTAATGTAAGGATTCTTCTTCTCTTATGAAATCTCTAGTTAGATAAACACTGCTGCAAGAGGAGGTTACCTTGGAAGCATTGCCAACCAGTTCGCTGTTAAGCTTCACAGCTCCCTCTTTCATGTCATATGTTCCTTTCTGTAGAATCAAAGCAGAAGTATTATGATCTTATGGTTGACCAAACTGGATAAACAACCGAACACGCCAACATGTATTAATATTAGAACTGTTAACAAGTCTTGTGTTTTAACATCATAAGTCAATTCAAATTACCAGCTCAATATTAGAACTACCCACATAGTCCTTAGCACATCTAAAAAATCTGATAACATGAAATTCCGAGGCATGACCCATGAATCACAAAAATGGATTTAAGTTATACACACGGTCACTGAACTTTTAACTTTGATAAGTTAGTTAACGTTTTTATCAGTTTCCCAATTAACATTTGTTATAGATATTTACCTATAGCACCTTATAAATAACCTAATTGTGTGAATATGTCTGTGCACAGAACTTAAACTCCGCGGAAACAAGTTTCTATGTAAAATGTCTATGTCAAAAGTTGCATATGATTATTCATAAGGAGAAAATCACCTGGACTTCAACAAGACCAGTGCTTTGAGCAATGACGACTTCAATTGTTCCATCGGGTTTAGGTCTCCAGTATCCACTCTCTGAATGCATAGGTTGTCCGGATTTCAAGTTCCATGTCTTTTGAGAATAAGCTATCACAGGCTGACTATCAGAAAAAGCAAATTTTAGACCAAAGGTATCTTTGACACCCTAGTCAAATCCGCAAGTAAATAAAGTATAAAGTAAATAAGTCTTAGATCCTAGTGACACATTTTAAAGTCGTGCAACCCTAGGCCCAAAGCGGACAATATCACTAGTGGGCGGGTTGATGGTGGGGCAAACCTGGACGCTGAGACCTTAAATGGGGTGTATGTGACACCCTAGGCGAATCTCATGTTGACAAAACAGGGAAGATATGCTGGGTATATAAGTAAACAAGTCTTAGACCCTAGTGACGCATTTTAAAGTCGTGCGGGCCTCGGTCCAAAGCGGATAATATCACTAGTGGGCGGGCTAATCGTGGGGCAAACCTGGACGCTGAGTCCTTAAATGGGGTGTATGTGACACCCTAGACGAATCTCACGTTGACAAAACATGGAAGATATACTGGGTATATAAGTAAACAAGTCTTAGACCCTAGTGACGTATTTTAAAGTCGTGCGGGCCTAGGCCCAAAGCGAATAATATCACTAGTGGGCAGGCTGATCGTGGGGCAAACCTGGACGCTGAGTCCTTAAGTGGCGTGTATGTGAAACCCTAGACGAATCTCACGTTGGGGAGATATGCTGTGTATATAAGTAAACAAGTCTTAGACCCTAGTGACGTATTTTAAAGCCGTGCAGGCTAAGGCCCAAAGCGGACATTATAACTAGTGGGTTGGACTGTTACAATATCTCTATCATTTTCTTTAGTTTGTCCCGAAAAATGATACTTTTCTATATCTTACAAACAATTTAATTTTAAAGTTGTCATTTTTATCTTAAATGGAATGATTTATAACTTGTTCCACACCCACAAGTTTAAAAGTCTTTTTTTTTAAAATTTCTTAAACTCCGCACCCATTAATACAGATTCGTGCTGCCTATGCCAATTAATTTCATTCTAAGAGCTTAACCAGAAACTAACCTTGTTAGGAGAGTGTGAAAATTGGAGGTCTTCGGAGTAATTAAAGGAGGAAATAGTTGGGAAAAAGCCTTGGCCTTCACCTCTCCATGTCCCAAGCAGAAAAGATAAAGGTTTCACTGCCGGATGCACCAATAACGTTTCCGATTGATTTGATACAGTTCCCTCCTCCATCATTATCCTCTGCTTCTCTTCGTTTTTTTTTAATTTTCAGTAGACAGACTGTTGAATTCCCATACTCAATAGTAGCGTTTGGACATAAGAATTGTAAAGTTCTAAAAAAAAAATTGAAAATTAAAATTATATTTGGACATTAATACGATTTTGAATTATTTTTAAAATTTTGTGAGTGATTGAATAAAAATTTTGAAAAAATAATATTTTTAGAACTTGAAAAATTTTAAAACTAGAAATTGTATGGCCAAACAATAATTTCAAAATAATTTTTTTTTTTTTTGGGAAAAAAGGAAATTTTTTTATGTGCTCATTGTCTCATACTAAAGAGTACATTGCTTTGACTTTGACCAAGTAAATGCTACAATTTGGACGGCTGCTTATCATTACAGTACATTGCTTTGACCAAGTAAATAGTTAACAAAATTTTACCGGCATATATGATATTTACCTCAAATCCTATTATTTTATTCAGCATTAAATTAAATAAAATATGAAGGTTAAAATGTGTATTAGTTAACTACTCCATTCGGTCAACTTTTACTGATTTTTTAACTGGTTTCACACATATTAATGAATCAATCTTTTCTACATTAATTAATAATAAAATTGACTGTATTAATTTTAATCTGTTTATTAAAAATATAAGAAATATTCATAGTTTTTTTTACTTCAAGGGCAAATTTAAAGAAAAAGAGGTTAATTTTTTTTTATTATCCGAAAAAATCAAATATTATGGACCATAAAAAACCCGACAAAATTCAATTAAAGTGACATGCCTTACGAGGTTGATATAAACCTAGGGGCTAGGATGCAGAAAAGGTTAAAGTTGCCCCTCATATTGAAAATAGAGCGATTGTATATTTGTATCCTCTGTTTTGATTTTGGTATCAAAAATCAAAACAAATGGAAGGTTAAGTTTTAATTTTTCTGAAATCTTGTGATTTTTTTCCACGTGGCCTTTTTAAAAATAAAAAAATACCCCTCCCGTTGATTTTGAGCGGCCATGTCAGCAAAGAAATATTTTTTAATGGGTTGAAAACACACTTGGACATCGGTTAGTTCAGACTTCATAGGGGCATAGTTAAGAGCCCGTTTGGACATAAGAAATTTTTCACTTTTTCGAAATACCATTTTCACTTGAAAATTTATTTTATTTTATTTTTTGTTGGAAATTTTACAATTCTTACGTCCAAACGCCCACTAAGTCAAAATATTAGCGACGAGGACTTTTTGATACCAAAATTAAATGGAGGGTATAATTGCTATATTTTCACTAGTTGAGCGGCAATTTTTACCCTTTTCCCCCCAAAAAAGGATGTTTGTGCTCTTGTTTCAGTTGCTAGTCCCTTCATTTCAAATTAGACGAGATATTTTCCTTTTTAATTTATTTCAAAACATATTTTTAAATTTGGAAATAATTCAACTTTAAACTTTTCATTTTACCTATTTTACCCTTAATGAGAAGCTTTTATAACCACATAAATGTCATGACTCACAAAGTTTTTACCCCTTATGCTTTTATGACCACAAGTTTCAAAAGCCTTCTTTTTTTTCTTAATCTCCGAGCCGAGTCAAGCTATATCATCTAAATTGAAACGGAGAGAGTATAAATGTTTGCCCGGAGGGGACAAAGGGTCTTATTCCTCATAAGTTGTTGGCATGTGACCAGGAATCACGGATTCAAGCCGTGGAAACAGCCTCTTGGAGAAATGTAGGGTAAGACTGCATACAATAAACCTTTGTGTTACGGTCCTTTCTCGGACCCCGCATAGAGCTTAGTCCACCGGGCTGCCCTTTTTATATCCTGAAACAAAAGTCAAGAACTATGACTCTTCAAATAGAAGACTTAGCCTGTATTTTCCATTTAACAAAACTAAAGGTGAGAAGTAGTACTAGTTCAGCACTATACTTCTATTTATATTGGATCAGGTTCTTCTAAATCCTGCATTCCAATAGCTAGCAGTGAGTGATCAAATATGTTGCACTGGTTTTAATCACATTTAATGCAGTGGTTTTTATATAAAGAAAAACCAGCCAAGATGACAATTTAAAGATCCCTTTGCACATTCTTCATTCATTAATGTTTAAGCTGATAGCCTAACTAATAGGTCCAAGTTGTTGTCTACCAAACTGCAGAGAGGAATTTTTCACCAATTTAAGGCCCCATATATACATGACCAACAGACATCAGCACATGAATTTGCCTTCACAAAACTTCAGCTCCAACTCAAAGCCTGTCTACATATATATATATATATATATATATATATATATCCCCTTTTCCATGAGCCTTTTCATCATAAAAACATCCTTATATAACAACACTTCTCTATAAAAGCCAAATTTTTCCGGAACCAAATCTCATGTTCTATTATAATATATGTTTTCTATAACAGCAATTCTCTATAACATCCAAAAATATCCGGAACAAACGAGGTCGTTATAGAAAGATTTGACTGTATATATATCTCCTTTTCCATGAGCCTTTTCATCATAAAAACAAGCAATATCAATTAAGTCATCAAAGGTATCTATATATTTTGACTTACCATCCAGAGAATGACGATGATTAGTGCTAAGAAATTCATCAAGATGGCGAGGAGATGGCAAAAGTTCGCGGTCAAGCAGCGGAAGAGGATTTCATTTCTAAGAAATGACAGCGATGCAGACAATTGTAGTGCATCCTCATCTACTATAGTTGAGAAAGGCCATTTTATAGTATACATAGCTGATCAAGCTCGCTTCGTCATTCCATTAGCTTACCTTGAAAATGAGGTCATTAGGCAACTTTTAAACATGTCTGAAGAAGAGTTCGGGTTCCCAAGTGGCAGCCCTATTACATTACCCTGTGATTCAGACTTCGTGGACTACATCATTTCACTAATCATGAAAGGCGTAGCTGCTGTAGATCTTCACAAAGCATTGCTCCTTTCAATTACTTCATATTGTTGTACTTCAACTTCTAATTTGCACAAAGAAAGTGGAAACCAGCAACTTCTGGTTCATTGAGTCATGATATCATGTTCTGTAAATAATAGCTCAAAATAGATTGTATAGTAGTTGAAAAATAGGCAAGTGAAAGCTTGTATTATTACAGATGGAATAGAGCTTTATCTTGAAATTAACCGGATCTATAGCATTCATTATCGTGAAATAGTTTCAAATTATGAGTTTAAGTTCTATGCACTAAAAGCGTAAAACTTAAAAGGTTATCACATGTAATCTATTTAATAGCATTGATTGGTAATCCAGAATAAATGATAAGTAACTTGCTTTAACATATTACATTACACTACTTAAATCTTAAAACCATGTAGTAGGCAATTTCCTATTGCATTGGAAATAGTGGCTAAATTTTAATTTGATGAAATCCAATTAGTGGACATATATTTTCTTCTTCTTCATTCATTCATTCTTCCTATTTTTAGAACATAACTCCCGCCAAAGTAGTAGAAACTTTACACATTGCATTGTAAAATTTCATTAACAAATAAAATATATATCACTTTCTTAAAACTAAGCCTGGAGACATAACACTTGGTAAAAACAATACTCATAAATCAACGAAAATTACCTAAAACTTGTTAGGACCGAAAAAATCAGGTGTCATGCGGAAACTAACAAAGCAAACCTTGAACGACGATAAGTCAGACAACAAAAGAGAAATATACCAAAAGAGACACAAACATTTAACGTGGTTCGGTCAACTAACCTACGTCCAACGCTGAGATGAACAATCCACTATATAAAAAGAGAGTATAAAATATCGAGAGAACAACCTCACGAAGAGGCAAACACAAGTGACACACTAACACTTGTCCCGTAAAGCTTCTCTCTTCTCTCTTGACGAAAGCTCTTTCAAAAACCACTCTTATGTGCTTAAGTCTTTCAAAGACTTGTATCAATGAGCATAGAATAATTCTCCAAGGTTGTCCTATTTATAGATCATGAGTGGTGCTTTCTCTTAAAGCCAAAATCCACTCAAAATAGGAATAAACCGAATCTAATTCCGAATAGGATTGGAAACCAAAAGAGAATAGGATTAAGCCATTGGGCCTTTGGCTGGACAACATGGGCATGTGCCCAACAAACTCCCCCTCCAACCAAGGGGCCAAATGTGTCTTCAAGTAGATGAACTATTGACAGACTTCATGCCTGCCAATTTTCTACAAAATTCATGTTTATCTGCAAGCTTAACTACAAAATCATCAAGCTGCTCCATATAAATCTCCTCATCTAAATCACCATGAAGAAAAGCAGTCTTGATATCTATCTGCTCAACCTCTAAATCTAGACTTGCAGCTAAGCCTAGAACCACACGAATAAAAGACATCTTCACAGCAGGGGAGAAAATTTTATCAAAGTCAACTCCCTTCTTCTGGCCAAAACCTTTAACAACTAACCTCGCTTTGTATCTAGGCGCAGAGGTATGATTATCTTGCTTTATTCTGAACATCCCTTTGTTAGATAAAGCTCTCTTACTTTTCGGCAATTTCACTAACTCATATGTGTCATTCTCATGGAGTGACTTCATCTCATCTTCCATCGCTTCGATCTACTGATCTTTGTGAGTATCTTGCATGGCTTCATCATAATACAATGGGAATGTTCTATACAATGCCCAGGCTATACATGACCTCTCTCTACAATCTACTCTTTCTCATTTCTAATCCTACTTTACAAAATCTCACGGGCAGAAGAATTTGCACCATGGTCCTATTCATAATCTCCTCAAGCGGGAAGTGAGATCAGTGAACACATCCTCATTGCAAGGTATTATGAGACCGCCCATCGGATGATCAAAGTCAAACTCTTCTTCAGCTTGAGCTAACAAGTCTTGAAATAAAGGCTGACTCAAGTATGATATTGGCACGACGAATCTCTTCTTCCGGCTCTCTCCTACATATATTGCACAATGTCCTTTTGGAACACCTTCAGAGATTGAAGACCTTCTTAAGAATCGATTAGACTAAATAAATGGAGTCACTTTGATACCCATTGTCTCAAGGAATATGATGTAACTCTAAATGGAATCGATTAGCCTGAATAATGGTAAGTTACATATACTTAATATTTTTTTTGGTGAAGAGAAATTTGAGAGACAACAACTAACACATGAAGTTTCACATGGTTTTGCTTATTCTGCTAGTGTCAAAGTATTCAGACCATAAATTTTGTTGAACAACATTAGGCCCCATTGCTTCTAATGATTTGGAACGAAAGACACCCTTAAAATAAAATGCAGAAGAATGGATGAAGTTGATGAGTTATTCATGGACCACTTGGTTTAAAGATATAGTGACAAATAATTCAATAAATGCATCAACCTCTTTACTTAAAACAAGACGACCAGCCATTTCCACAATTTCTAAGGTCCCATATTAAAACATCAGCACATGATTTTGCCTTCAATACCTGCTCAGGTTGACAACTAGAACTACAATTTTCAAATTCATTCTCTAGCCTCAACTATAAATAAACTACTTCCATGAAACATTTTGATCATCAAGCAGATAGAACTCAATCAAACCTTTTAAAAACACAAACAATATTTTCTTTCCTATAAACCGAAGAAATCAACATGATCAGTGCTAAGAAACTAATCAAGATAGCAAGGAAATGGAAGAAGTTTGCGGTCAAGCAGAGGAAGAGAATTTCCTTTCCAAGATCCAATAACCATGACGCAGAGTGTTGTAGAACATCTTATTCTATAGTTGGCAAAGGGCATTTTGTGGTGTATACAACTGATCAAAAGCGATTTGTAGTTCCTTTGGCTTATCTACAACACGAGGTAATCAGACAACTGTTTCACATGTCTGAAGAAGAATTTGGACTTCCGAGTGATGGCCCTATTACATTACCGTGTGATGCACTATTTATGAACTACATCATATCACTCATTAGAAAAGGTGCAGCTATCGATCTTCAGAATGCGTTGCTTGTATCAGTTGCTTCTAGTCAATGCTCATCATCTCTACACCTTCAAGAACTAAGAAACCCGGAATTGCTAGTTTATTGACCTTAATGTGATAAGTTTTGTAATAGATACATGATACTCAACAAGTGTACAGAATATTCAACATCTAATTATTCATCAAAACTTCATATTCTTGTCAACACTCTTTAACTTTGTGATTATATCTGATTTCTTTCAGTTGCTTTCTAGTAGTCCTATGAATTCAAATTGAACTTTATTAACAATGAGAATATTTAGCAACCAATGAATAACAGAGAAGTATGATCATATGTTATGTTGTCAATTTTGAGATTGGCCTCAAAAGTATTCACAGAACAATCAGTAAGCACAAAATAGCCTCAAGATCCTGCATAAATTACCAAAATAGGGTTCTAAATATGTAGAATATCCAAATTTCTAGTCCTAATTCATAAGAAAGTTACGTCAAAAGCTGCATTAAACCAATTTTTCAAATAAGATAAAAGGAAAAATTTGTTCAAAGGTGGAAACAAAAGTCAAGAGGCATAATACTTCAAATAGAAGAATTTAAGCTGTATTTTGTGTTGGTTAATATCATAGTTTTTGTCTCTCGACGAAAACTGTGACAAATGATCTTTTTATCCTTCTTCCCAAAAAGAAGAAATAAATAAAGAAAAGAGATTTCTGATTTAATTGCAAATGACTAATTTCTTTGGTTCCTGAATTGATTAATTTGTTTTGACACTATTAACCAAAAAATGGTTCAGTTTTCTTACTGCTAACATATCTTTTGAGTAAAATCTGTCAACAGAGTTGCTCAAGGTCAAAAGATTTTGTTATAACAAAAGCAGAATAGGACTAGACAAGATGACAATTTAAAGATCCCTTATGTACATGACAAAGAAAGGAGTAGCACATGGTTTTGCCTTCTACAAGCTATTCTTCATTTAATGGCTTCAAATTATTTAAGTATGAGCTGATATCATACCTAATAGGTCCAATCTATTGTCAACCAAAGTGAAGAAATGAAGAAATAATCCCCCTTTCATGAGCCTTTTCATTACCAATTCAAGACAAGCATTAACAATTCAACCCTCAAAAAGACTCTAAATTTCTTGTTTACTTTCTTGTTTCAATCTTCCAAAAAAAAAAGAAAAAGAGAGAGACAATGATCAATGCCAAGAAACTCATCAAAATGGCTAGGAGATGGCAGAAGTTGCAGCCATGCAGCAGAAAAGGATTTCGTTTCCAAGAAATGGTAGTGATGAAGATAGTTGTAGTACATCTTCATCCTTTATAGTTGAAAAGGGTCATTTTGTAGTCTATACAATTGATGAAAGGCGATTTGTCATTCCCTTGGCATACCTTGAAAATGAGGTTGTTAGGCAACTCTTAAACATGTCTGAAGAGGAGTTTGGGATACCGAGTGGCGGCCCTATTAAATTACCCTGTGATTCAGCGTTCATGGATTACATCATTTCACTAATCAAGAAAGGTGTGGCCGCTGGAGATCTTCACAAAGCATTGCTCCTCTCAATTCCTTCATGTTTCTGTTCAGCTTATTCTTTGCACCAAGAAAGTGAAAATCAGCAGCTTCTTGTTTGTTGAGTCATGACATAGTGTTTTGTAAATGATAGCTCAAAATAGATTGTAAAGTAGGAAACTAAAAGAATGTGTTACAACAAATGAAATGGAGCTTTCAATTTTCAATTTTGAAACTAAGAAGTTCTTAACATTATCATCATGGAATGACTCTACTATCTTATCCCGGGCGATAACTTGGTTGATCAAAACTTACAAATATATGAATCATTCCGACTAAAAAAGTGGAAGCCATATTACATTAGAGTTTTTGGCGAAGGGGTAGAGGGAATTGATCTTTAATTGGATATATCAGTGGATATTGGAAATCAAATGTATAAAAAATGATAAGTTTAATACCTTTTGCAAATTATTATCTGAGACTAGGGGTGACAAAATAGTTAAAAGAAAATAATTAACCACTTTCTTGGTGCAAATTAGAAGATGAAGTACAACAACATGAACGAATCGATAGGAGCATTGCTTTATGGGCCCTGTTCTCTCAAAACATCAAAACGCTCGAAGATCTCCGGCAGCTACACCTTTCTTGATCAGTGAAATGATGTAGTCCATGAAGACCGACTTAGAGGGTAATGTAATAGCGCCATTACTTGGTAGCCCGAACTCTTCTTCATACATGTTTAAAAGTTGCCTAATGACCTAATTTTAAAGGTAAGCCAAGGGAATCACAAAGCGCCTTTGATCAATTGTGTAGACGATAAAATGGCCTTTTAGGTCGTGAGGCTGATGAGTTGACAAATTCCTCTACCTCGTATTCTCTTTCTTCGTTGTGAATTTAAACCACGCGATGATTTTCAGTCTAATTGAGCTACCTTAACCACTTTGAAAAAAGTCTCCTTTCTTTATGTATTTTGGCTGCGACCTGAGTTTTCTTTTACATGTACACATGCTTTTTCAAATAAGCTTTTCATCTGCACTTGTCAGTCAAAACTCGAAGCAGCCTGAGTTTTGTTGCAACTATTATGCGTCAAAGAGTCGCCCTACCGAACCCCACAAAAACTAACTGATGAAATGCAAACACCTGGAACTGTTTTCCCTATGCATATTTAGATAACATTGCAAATGGAAAAACAACTCTTATGTACTTCTACGATTGAAGTTCCAAACGAAACAGATTTTTCCTTTTCAGGAACATTTAATGGAAAAAGAGAACACAATATTTATGATGTTGTTTTAGTCTCTCTATACTAAGCTAAACTCTATACACTAAATCATCTACTATATAAGTAAAGGACACAAACCAATATATGATCTATTTAAAACTTTGTTAAACTTAAATAAATAATTATTCTATAATAAATACTATATCCAAACCAAAATCCATGGTTAATAGTATATATCCCAACACTATACGCAATCCTTCATCTCATACCGCTGAAATCTAGCTTGGTAATATGAGTCTGGTACTGAAAAATAGATGATGGTATTTCCCTTATCCCAGAGGCTCCCATGCGAATATGTATCTCCGGCTTCATTCTCCCGTGGATTTCTGGAAATTTCTCTAACCTAAAGCAACCATCTAAACTCAGATATTCAAGAGAATCCACGCTAACACATGGAAATCTCTTAAGGCTTTGACACCAACTCAAATCTAACCAAATGAGTTTGCTGCAACATCCCAGGGAATGGTGAACCTCTTCAAGATTATAACACCAAAACAGATCCAAATACTCCAAATTTGGCATCCCCGTGAAATCTGGTGTTCGCACCAAGCTTTTAGAGTATCTGAGATCTAGCGTCCGTAGAGACGACAATTGCTGTTCAGAATACAAACAGAATGAGATAGAGAAGAAAAAAAGAACCTATTTTGCTCCTCCACTGGATTCCAATAATAAAATATTTGGCTATCTATGAATGTAGAAACCTTGTTTGTTTCATTTGTATTTTTGGACATCAAATGACCTCTGTTTTCTTAATGACTTATTGCTAGCTTTCCTAAAAGTATTTATTACTCCATCGACAAGAAATGAATGATAGCATTTGATTTATGAGGGACAACACATTATTTTTGTGCGAAATTAGAAATTTATTTTTTATCTATGAAAAAATACTTGTTAAGAAACTGAATAAAAGTAAACTATAAATTAAATAAAATATTGTTAATTGTAATTTAACATGATTGAAAAAAACTGTAGCAAAGAGAAAAGTGTTTCTCTCTTTAAAAAAGTGTAATATAAAATGGGAAAACCCAAATGTTAAATCCAGAAGCAATGTATGAAAGCATATATGTCATTCAAGAAAATAGTTGTACACAATAAATTCCTTTTGTTTTACTAATAGGTATTCCTTCCGTCTCACTATGTACAGCCCTAGGATGAGATTCATATGAATCTAATTTTACTATGAGAAATAACTGAATTAGTTAAAATGATGATGGGAAGACTTGGAGAAAAAAAAAAGACAACAAGATCTTACAATAATACTTGGAACAACCCCAAATAATATAAATTACAATAATTTTTTTGAGATGGAAATACATTAACTTGAGCTTATGGAATTAATAACTTTTGTTCATTTAAAGACAAGCATTGTAATTCTAGCAAAAATAGAAAGTACCTCAAATAATACGTGACAAAAGCAATAATATTTGTTCATTATCACTAAATAAAAAGACAAAGATAGTTAGAGAGAAAAATAAAAAAAAAATAAAACTCAACTATTGTACCTTTGTTTCCGTCCATAAATAACGCAGTGAACTAAGGTGGAGTTGAAGGTTAACAAGCATTTTGGGATCAAATGTAGATGGCAATGTTTCACAAGGATAGCCATCCAAGACTAACCAACGCAAGTTGTTGGACAGATACTCAATGGAGCCATCATCCCAAATATTGAAATCATAGAACTCTTTGTCTATGTATAATATCCTAAGCCTTTTCATATTTTTCATGGCCTCATTGTTAAAGCGTAGTGTACTAAAATTACCATGAAGCCAAATTGCTTCCACTGCCATGGTCCCCTGGTAAGAAGATCATTAGGATATACTGATGTTACTTCATAGAAATACTTTTCGCAATTAATTCTATAGTTCTATTTCTAATATTACATTTCTCTTAGAAGTTCATTAGAGTTAAGTTTATAAGCTTTTCATGTTGCGATAGAAAGAAACTGCAATTGAAACAATACCAATAAATTGTAGTAACTTTTTAAAACAAAATAAAAATAAACAATGATAAAGTGAATCTCTGATTGAGTTATTATGTAATAACATGTCATAAAATTTTCAAGTTAATCCAAAGAATGAAATTGGATCAAACAGATTAAGTGGCTACTAGCTAGACTAATCAATCACTAAAAAAATATAAGAAAAACTAATTAGGCAACATAAAGAGGTTACTTAACGAATTAGGCAATTAATATCTTTTTTTAACTAATTAGGCAATTGATATTACTTTTGCTTTTCCTACTAACTAAAATAAACAACTAAATATGAAGCAAGATGAACAAATAATTGGAATTGACTGTCCTATGTGTCTTTGGAATATAAACATTAGATATTAAAAATTATTGCATTGCTTATGCTACTTACTGCATTGTTGCTCATCACTTCTTCGACTTCCTCGGCGAGCCATAGCCTGCTACGTTCTCCAGGATCTTTTTTAAAATTCACTATATATTTACCCATATCATGTATTAAGTCATGCATTTGAATTCGATCATTTTCAGAGATAGACACAAGGGATTTGTCAATTAAAATACGCAATCCGTATTCAACTCCAGAATGACAACTCTCAAGAATTTGCACGGCGTAATCGTTTTTTTCCCCTCGCAAGAAGCATGCTATATCTAGAAACATCTCTTGGTGGATGGGCTCCAATCCGTCATAACTGATTTTGAGCTTTTCAACAATTTCCGAATTAGAATTAATTTTCATGTGCTTTATAGCACTTTTCCATTCAGTTAAGCCTAAGTTATGCAGCAAAGAACCCCACACTTTGAGGGCTAAAGGAAGACCTTTAGCATAATTTACTACCTCCAATGAGAGCTCCTTAAAACACTCATCTGGATCTTCTTTTCTGAAAGCATGTTGACTGAATAACTGCATAGCTTCATGGTCAGCTAGTCCAGTCACTTCATAAATGACATCATTCTTCTCTATCAAATGCTTGTTTCTAGTTGTGACAACAACTCTACTGCCATTATCAAACCAACCAATATCACCCGCTAAATACTCTAAATGATCTTTATGATCTATATCATCAAGCACAATTAGCACCTTCTTAGAGCAAAGTCTATCCGGAATCATCCGCTTCCCATCATGCTTATTATTGACGTAATCATCTTTTCTTCTTAACAATTCAGAGAGAAGGGTGTTTTGCAAAGAATACAGTTGATGTCTTTTTTCATTTTCTTTAATATCCGCAAGGAAACAAACAGCTTCAAATTGATGAGATAAAGTGTCAAAAATGGCTCTTGCTATTGTCGTCTTCCCTAGACCCCCCATGCCCCAGATCCCCAATATGATCCGAACATCATTGGTTCCTACCTTAAGTAGGGACTTTAATTTCTCCAGATGAGTATCTATCCCGACAACATCTCGCAAAGAAGATAAACTAGCACTATTGCACAATTTGGAAATTTGGTCGACAATGTGCTGAATATTCTCTGCCTCAATCCTACGAAAATAAGAGGATTAATTGTGGATAAATGTAAGAAAGTCAAGTATTAGTAAGCATTTCATAATTAATTTTTTTATTACATAGGGGTAGGGGAAAGGGAGAGAAGATTGCTAGGTTAGGAATCAAATTAACTCTCATCAACTAGGTAAATAGCCAACAAGCTGAGCTACTAAATATTGTTAATTTACATAGAAATGATTAAAAGACACCACACATAAAACAAACGCTTGAAGGAGCAATCAAAATATTATACGTGCAAGAGTGTTATTGAGGAAATGTAGTGATAGGAACTATAGTGTCTTCTGGAGTAATATCAAAACGTGAATAGCTTAAGATGCTTTTTATTTATTCTCTCTAATTATATTGATAGGAACAATACCTTCTTATTGATAGAGACATATATAACAACCATCATTCCTTTTTTTCAGGAAAATAAAGATAAAAACATTTTTAACGTCTTAAATGACAATCAATGAAATTAGATTGTGTAAGCAGTATTCTTAACAAAAATAAATTGATTAAGGTTCCACCTTTTAATTTTTATTTTGTAAATATGATAAATTTATTTAGTGTCTTTTCTGTTTAATTCATTTTTTGAGGTATGGATTCTTTTTCTATAGTAAAATATGTACTCTTCACATAAGCAACCTAAATTATTCCTCAGCACTTGAGCAAACCTCTCTTTGTAGTATTCCATTTTTTTTCATTGTAAGAAATTACTATATGTTCTTAACTCACCCGGCACGGATATCATATCCTTTTAGATTTGCAGCAGCAGTTAGAGCATTCCTCCATCTTTGGACCTTCTGCATTCCTTCATCATCATCCTTATATCTTGTTTCGTGTTTCTTAAAGGCTTTGGCAAAGCTCTTCCTCTGGTATCGAACATGTGCTGGATCCACATCATAGAAGACTGGTATGACAGTATGTCCACATTGAGCCTTGCATTCCATGATCTTTACTAACTCATCTAAGCACCACCTCGATGTTGCATAATTCTGTGAGAAAACGACAAGGGCAACTTGAGACTGTTCGATAGCTTTCAGGAGTTCATCTGATATTGATGCACCATGCTCTAGCCTTTTATCATCTTGAAACGTGAATATTCCACTGCTTTCCAAGCCTTTGAAGAGGTGACTTGTAAATTTGCTTCGAGTATCTTTACCTCTAAAGCTTAGAAAGACTTTGTAGTTCCACCGAAACTGTGAAGTAGTTGTAGAAGCAGAAGATAATGCCATTGATTCAGTTAATTATCTGAAAAGAAAATAACATGTATGTGGATAAGTTGTAGTTGTGGTAAGAGATCAGCTGATGATAATTGGAGAGACAACTAGCTATTGGCACTTCAAATAAGAAATAGCTATGGCTCTACTCGATAGAATTATTGGTACTGGGTTTTCTTTGAACTTTAATAGAAGTAAGTAGGAAATTTGTCAACTGATGCATACTGTAAGATTTAATGCGGTAGGAAATTATTGTGAAGCTTCTTCTTAATGCTTTACTGTAGTTGATTTGAATTATTGTTGTTTTGCTTTCCTTGAACTTTAATAGAAGGAAGTAGGAAACTCCTACAAAGATCACTGTATATACGCAATGGTCAGCTAAAAGTACAAGTGGATGCATTGAATTGAATTATTGCTCCAAAGCACAAACACAAATGTCCCTCTCTCTCTTCTCTACAAAAGAAAAAGCACACCATTGATTGAATTTCTTCCTCTAGCAAAATATTTCTCAGTTTTTTATATATGATTATATTGTCCGAGTTAACTCCCTCCATCTCAACTATTTTATTGGATATTAAGGTAGATAAAAATTAATCAACTAATGTTTTTGCCTCTAGTGTAATTTGAACATAAAATTTCATAGCTTTCATCTTACTTTATTGATCATTAGACACACATCACGAGTCTTCAACATACTCGATTAATAAAAATAACCTAAATAAAATGTGTTACTCAACAAATTATAAACCTGTTTATTTGAATAGTAAAATAGGTTAATGACGAAAAGCAAGATAATATTCGCGTTATTTCTTTGTCACTAACAACCCACGACGACTTGAATTCATTATAATTGAATATAATAACCAATCAAAAGCACTACCTTACATTTTCTTTGTGCATACAGTGAAAACAAAAGTGGGCCTAGAAATAAAGGTGTATGGAAAACAGGAGAATCGAAAGTGAAAAATTTTAGACGTTCGATAAGGTTTCATAAAGGCTCTTTAATTTTAGGCCAAACCGGTCCCTAAAGTTGGCTTCGCTTTTCATTTTTGACACTTTTACAATCTTTTTTATTTTGACACTCCAACTCATCATCTCATACACTCCAATATTTTTAGCTTTTTAGTTTTTTTATCTTTCTGCTTCCTCCTTCCATCTCCACTACCAATTTCGCCGCCAACACCATTTTTTCCACAGAAGGAAAAGTCATGGTTGTTTGGTGTTGCTTTCTTCTTATTATTCTTTAGAAGGCCTTCTACAAACCCTTGCGAATGAGGCAAGTACCAGAAAATAGAGGCAAACATTTGAGAGTGTATGCATATCAAGATCTCTTTTTAATTCAGACAAATGTTCTATGCAGTCATCATTGTATATAGTTTTGCCAAAAACTTACAATGTTTCACCAGGTCAAGTCTGGTATCCTTCCCAATTTTGATGCCTCAGATATTCCGAACGATCATGCTTTAGGTTATACTAAAACATAATTCACTACAAAATTTTGAGATCTTATTGTATGCGATGCGGCCTTTAGGCAAATTTTGAGATTTTTTGCTTTTTAATTTTTTATCTTTCTGCTTCCTCCACTACCAATTCCGCTGCCAACAACACCAGTGCACTTCTGCAATCTACACTTTCAAAGCCGTCAACGGCAACAGAGACCCAGAGATTTGCCGTCAAATACTTCGTAAAATGTCCATCCTTCGCCAGAAGAATTCTCCTTACATCATCAAGAGTTAAACTGATTTTTGGTTAACTCTTATGCGAGCAAAATCACGTGGGTGCAAATTAATTAGAACTTTGTAGTGAGTCATTCTTTTGGTTAAAGAGTTATACTCGTTTTAATACTATACTAGATTTTAATGCTATTAAAGCCACTGAAGATTTTAGTTGTGAGAGATCTGGTGATTGTGGGAAAATGATGATGGAACCAGAGGGTGGGGTGGCCGGAGAAGATGACGGAGGGCTGATTGAAAATAGTTCTTTTTCGTTTTTTTTTTGCTCAAAATCCATTTTAAAATTATTTGGTAACAAAAGTCACATGTCATCGTTCCATTGATTACTTTGCCACATAAGCTGTGAATTACACTCTCTTCATATTTTTGACTGATGTGCATTTTGTGTTTAAGTGACACATAAGACTATAAGTTGAAGTGTCAAAATGAAAAAGGTCTAAGTAAAAGTGTCAAAATAAAAAGTGAAGCCAACTTTAGGTGGCCCTTATGGGTTTGGCTTTAATTTTATCTTTTTCCCATGCCAAGAAAGTAAAATCTCAATAGTTTTACTAACAGTTAAGTCTTGAAATTTAAATTACTTGTATATATTAACCTTACATGTGAACAAGGATATGTAATATTTTAAAAATAATTTACCTTTTCTAATCGATTTTCATGGTGCTTGTTGATTGTAATTTGGATGTCATTAATTGCGGCAGATTTTCGAGGATATGATCCTTGACATGATGGTCTGGAAGTCGAGCATTAAGGTTATAGGCTAGGGGTAGTCGAGCTCTTTCTACTTCATACCGGAGGTGAGGCGGGTTAGATAGGCTTGATCTTACACGGCTTGTGGTTAATGTTGAGTCCACACTATTCTTTCTGTTTTTCATAGCCTCAGGCCTTAATTATTGATTATTGTTACTACATGTCATCTATTATATGATTTTCATGATGTTGTTACTATTTCTATGGTTTCTGTAGACAATACTGACGAATTGTCTCTTCTTGTTTTATTTCCGTCTTTCTCAGCCGAGGGTCTATCGGAAACAACTTCTTTACCCCATCGGGATAGGGGTAAGATATACCTACACACAACCCTTTTCAAACCCCACTTTATAGGATTCTATTGTAACATTAAATGTGGTAGGAAAATTCTTCTTTGAAATTTAATTGAACAACAACAACAACCCAGTATAATCTTACTTAGTGGGGTTTGGGGAGGGTAATGTGTCCGCAGACCTTACCCCTACCTTGGGGTAGAGAGACTGTTTCCATATAGACCCCCGACATCCTTCCCTCCAAGAACTTCCCACCTTGCTCTTGGGGAGACTCGAACTCACAACCTCTTGGTTGGAAGTGGAGGTTGCTTATCATCAAAACAACCCCTCTTGTCTTTGAAATTTAATAGAACGAAGCAGGAAATTCCTTCAAAAACCACCCACCCACCCCTGCTCCAAAATTCCACAATAATATGTACATTAGGGACAACTAAACGTACAAGCCGATATATGAAGCTACAAAGGAAAGGAAGGGTAAAAAATGGGTCAACCGATTGATAATATGGGTAAATATGACTACTTTTGGGAGAATTCCTAGTCTCCCAAACTTGAGAAACTCCCAATTTGAGCCTTTATAAATGTAAAAGTTAAACTATTGATTATCCATTGGTTACCCATTTTCTAAATGAATAATATGGTTCTTATCCATATTTGACCCATTTTTAAAAAGTTCATTATCCAATCCACTTTTTAATGAATAATATGAGTGGTTAACTGCTTTTTTTTTAACCATTTTACCACCACTAGTTATGAAAAACCAGACCGGATGAATAGTACTAACAAAACAAACAAAAATATGTCACCAAAGATAGTTCATGGTCTACATTGCAAAAGATCTTCCTTGTTTTATTGTTGCCTCTTTGAATCAACTGACTCGTTTGTGATAAGATAAAACTTGTATGCATACAACGGTTCATAAAAACTTTTGACTAAATCTTTTTTGGTGTTATAGACAAAGAATGGTTTAACAACAAGAAGAAATAAAGGGAAGTTACTCTCTTTCTAGCAGTTCTGTGAGGTAATGAAAATTCACCTAACATCATCTTCATCAGTTTATCCAAAATTGTATTAGTTCGAATCCATCTTACAGCATCATTCACAAGCCAGGAGAAACTTCCGCCAATCCATTCAATACTATTCACAGGGTAATTAACTTATGGAATGAAATCCACCTACTAAAAGGCAGTTACAGATGGTAGTCTTTGGCTCTCTGATTAAATGCATCACTTCCTGGCCTGACGTTTCGAGCTCCTACTTAAGCTACCAACTAGTGAAGTATAAGTAGCATAGTCATGAACAAGCCCCATTTCACCACGTAGCTTATCATAATCATCAGGATTTCCATACTTGCAATGCCCATCCAATAGTATGTTATAATGTCATCTGGATTCAAACCAAGATTAAGCATGGCTTGTAATAACATTTCAGCATTTCTCATCTGTCCTTGTCTGCATAGACCACTTAAAAGCGCGTTGTAAGTTATAACATTAGGCACATGTCTATTACTTTGCATCTGCCTTAGCAACTTAAAACCCATCTTAACATCTCCCTTCTTACAGAAGCCGTCGATAACCATAGTATAAATAGGGTCATCAGGCTTTACATCAGAATTCGACATTTCCGTTAAAATTCTTTTTTATGGGTGTGCCGTGCACCACACTTATAAGCAGGAGGCTACAAGGCATTTAGGACTGTCACTCTTTCTTCTTAATCTAGATCGTGCGGTAGGGCTCACTTGTAAGAATTCAGATTCCTAAATTCTATTATATTCCTAATACAATGATACTTACATCTAGAAAGACGGTTGGTAGGGGATTGAATATGGTTGTTGATGAGTTGAGTCAGAGGAACTCGATTTTGCATTATGCTTATAATGAGTAAATATATATTCACCAGCAGAACATGTGGATACTAAGATGTGTAAACTTCTTGATAAGGATCCCTAAGGCAGGAATATCTATTCACTCTTATGGTAAAAAGGAATAAGAGAATCGAAAAGTAGACATAAGTTCCAGAAAGTAAAAGAAGCAAGGTGAAAAAGGGTACGAGGTACCCAGATAATGAAAATTGTCGGTATTTTCAACTCAGGCGGAGAGATATAAGCATTTTGAGTTACCTTCAATAGTAACAGAGGTATGTACAATTGGTCACACCCATTCCAGTTATGCCCCAAGGGGGTCAACAAAAGTAGTATAAGAGAAGGAGAAGATATCATGATCTGGATGGGGTTAGAGTAACCCAAAATGTTGATGAATTAGTTGCGTTAGTTGACATTTCCGAAGGATATTACAAAGGTGCTAATAGATCACCTTGTGAGACACCCAGATGGTGCCCTCTAAAATAGTACAGCTTGATATGAATACTACAAAGATAGGCACGGGAAGCCTGGAAGGGATAAATATTATCTTAATATGGATCCCGTCCCTAGTAAAGGGAGAATGTTAGGCAGCCCGAAAAGGCAGTAGATGGAGCAAGGGG